TTTTAGTGGACTTTCTTCACTGGGCCAGAACTGCTCCTGCCACTCATCTCCATGGGGCCGAATCCGGGGGTCATTTCTGAGTCTTCATCTTACTCTGTCTACATCATTGACACAGTGGATCCCTCGCCTTAAAGCACTTTATTCAGTTGGTCACCAAGACATGTCACCCTCCTGGCATTCTGTTGGCCACCCTTTCTTGGCCTCCTTTGCTGTCTCTTCCCCTCTCCAGCCTCTGAGCATCAGATTGCCCAGAGCTGTCTTTGGTTCTTTTCTCCTTTCTGACTACTTCTCTAGTCTCCTCTAGCCTCATAGCTATAAATATAATCTGTATGCTGACAGCTCCTGCCTTTATTTATTTATGAATGAGAAGGAGTCTCGCTTTGTAGCCCAGGCTGGAGTGTAGTGGCGCAATCTCAGCTCACTGCAACCTCTGCCTCCCAGGTCCCAGTTCATGCAATTCTCCTGCCTCAGCCTCCTAAGTAGCTGGGATTACAGGCGCCCACCTCCACGCACAGTTAATTTTTGTATTTTTAGTAGAGACGGGGTTTCACCATGTTGGCCAGGCTGATCTTGAACTCCTGACCTCGTGATCCACCCGCCTCGGCCTCCTAAAGTGCTGGGATCACAGGCATGAGCCACTGTGCCTAGCCAGCTCCTGCATTTATATCTGTATAGCAGACCTTACTCATAAACTCCAGATTCATATACCCAACTAATTCCTCAACATCTCCATTTACTTTGTCTCTTTCCTCTCACTAGAATGTAAGTTCTGTAAGGGTAAGAACTTTGTTTTACCCATTGCTATATTCCCTAACATTTTTTAAAAAGTGCCTGGCACATAGTATACGCTCAATAATATTTGTTGAATTGAATGTTTTCCTGTAGAAAGAACAGACTTTAAAGAATCAAGATGTTTGTAAGTCTTACAGTAACCTCTAGGGACCTCTCACTTCCTGGAAGAACTTTCTGTATAATTTATTCTGTCATTCACCTGCTTTCTAGTAACAGTTTGGGCCCTCCTGGTGCCACTTTTCGTTTGAGTCAAGACAGTCTTGGCAGGCCAAACACAGTGGCTCACGCCTATAATCCCAACACTTTGGGAGGCTGAGGAGGGAGGATCACTTGAGCCTAGGAGTTTGGGACCAACCTGGGCCACATAGATCTTTTTAAGAAAATATTAGCCAGGAGTGGTGGCATGTGCCTGTGGTCCTAGCTACTTGAGAGCTGAGGTGGGAAGATAGCTTGAGCCTGGGACGTTGAATCTGCAGTAAACCGTAATTGTGCCACTGTAGCACAGCACTGCAGCCTGGGCAACAGAGTGAGATACTGTCTCAAAAAAAAAAAAAAATCTTGGCCAATCACACTACAGTGTGCCTTTAATTGATCAAGATAATATATATCAAGCTTGTAATGAGCACGTAATGAGCACACAGTAAATGGAGGCCTTATTCTCAGCTTTCTCTACCTTCTTACTTCTTGCCACAGGACCGCCTGGCTCGGTGCACCATGCATTGCAATGACAAAGCCAAAGATTCAATAGATGCTGGGAGTAAGGAGCTTCAGGTGAAGCAGCAGCTGGACGGTTGTGTGACCAAGTGTGTGGATGACCACATGCACCTTATCCCAACTATGACCAAGAAGATGAAGGAGGCTCTCTTATCCATGGGGAAATAAAAGTCTTTGCCAATGCCCATCGGGGCTGAGGGCAAGAATATATTTTTTATAAGGAATTGGGAATTTTAGTCTTTTAAGCAAAGTTTATGAATGAAGAAATTAAGGACGGCTGTAAGTGTAAGGCATATGTCACTTGCCTCTGGACACTGGTTCTTTTATGTTTCAGTCCTAAAAAATGAAATGGAAAAAAGTGGTGCTAAATTGGGTCAGAGACATTACAGGAGAATTTTGGAGCTTGTATTTCCTGTGGCCAGTGCCTGTCCTGGCAGGAAGGATCTTCCCTGTAACAAGCCAGAGCCCTCCAAGGTACCAGACTCTTCTTACTACACAGGTACCAACAGCCTGGCAGGTTAGAGTTGCAGTTTGAGGAGAGATATTTTCTCTTTGTTGCCAACATCCTGTTTACCGGAAGTGTCACCACGCCATTTTCCATAAACTGTGAAACAAAATCCATGAGGTCACTAACTTAGAAGGGAAAAAGTTTTCTGAGTCTTTGTGTTCTTGGTTTTGTGTTATTTATACAAGGGCATTCAAGTTGATTTTAAGATGTGGAATTAGGAGGGAGACTAGTTTGGATAAGAATTTTGAAAGGTTCCTTGTGGATCCCCATTTCTGGTCATCAAGATGTGGATGTACATTTCTTAAAATTATTACATGCTGCATCTTTCAGCCTGGGGACCATGCAAAAACATGAGAGGTGATGACACACTAATTATGAGAAGCATAATTACTCGCTGATGGGCCCTGAGACTGTAGCAAAATGACAATGACGGGAAAATTTTTTTTTTTTTTGAGACGGAGTTTCGCTCTTGTTACCCAGGCTGGAGTGCAATGGCACGATCTCGGCTCACCGCAAAGTCTGCCTCTCAGATTCAAGCGAATCTCCTGCCTCAGCCTCCCGAGTAGCTGGGATTACAGGCGTGCGCCACCACGCCTGGCTAATTTTGTATTTTTAGTAGAGACAGAGTTTCTCCATGTTGGTCACGCTGGTCTCGAACTCCCAACCTCAGGTGATCCACCCGCCTTGGCCTCCCAAAGTGCTGGGATTACAGGCGTAAGCCACTGCCCCCAGCATGACAGGACAATCTTGCAGGAACACTTTCCCCTTGAAGAGAAAGGGATTTTGATTGTGATCTATACTAGTATCTAGGAATACTACAGGAATGAAAGAGGACCAGTTGGCTACTTGATTATAACAGAGTTATAAAGTACTGGATTTGGAAAAGCGTGGTTTTTACAGAACAGATGGAACGAAAACCTAAACCTAGCATTGCCTACTTAGCCCCCTGAATTAACAGAGCCCAATTGAGACAAACCCCTGGCAACAGGAAATCGAGGGAGAAAAAGTAACCAGCTTGGGCTAGGATGAGCTGACTCCCTTAGAGCAAAAGAGAGGCAGCCCCCATTACCAAATACCACTTTTGCCTCGGGCTTTTGCAACTTGCATCGTTCCTGCCCCGGCATGACACCTTATTGTTTTGATAGCAACCTCACTGTATTTTCACCAACTTATTACTTGAAATGATAATATAGCCTGTCCACTTGCTGTTTCCAGGCTGTGATATATTTTCCTAGTGGTTTGATTTTTAAAATAAATAAGGTTTAATTTTCTCCCCACTATTGTGTTTTATTTCCTTATATCTGGGTAGTGAATATGTTAACTTTCTCAGTATGCTTCTTTTAACCGGTTAAATGAGTTTAGCATGTTCAAAAGAGTGGAAATCAGTTATTTGTTATGGTTCAGATGCAGAACTTGTTCATTGTAAATGTGAAAAACTTTGAGAGGAGACTAGGTTATTGTGACTTGAAGTTCATTAATGTAGAAAAGAAACTATTAGGCTAAAAAGAGAAATTCATTATGTCAGGTCTCTCGCTTCAACTAAACACTAATAGCAAGTGGTAGGAAAGGTACAAAGCTATGACCCTGCTAGAAAAAATCAAGTGTCTGGGATTTTGAGTACTAAGAGAGTGCAAGATATATGATAAGTTTAAGTCTTTACTATCATTGGTATTTAAATAGAGCCATTCCAGAATATCAGGAATCAACTGAATTTTTGAGAACCATCCCCTATTTAAAATCAACAAGGCATTCTATTTTGGTTTAGTCTTTTATGATATGTGGATTCTCCTACTTTAGGATAATGTATCAACTGGGAACAAGTCAGACACCACTTTTTACACATCTTGACATGAAAAAGAAATACCTTATATTAGAGAATGTTTGTATGCTGCACTTCACAATTTTATATACAGAAGCAACAGCACATCAGCGAGTTTGGAGGTAGTGTTTGAAAAATTGCAGGACTGCCAGGCATGCTGGCTCACGCCTGTAATACCAACACTTTGGGAGCCAGGGTCAGGAGGATCACTGAAAGCCAGGAATTGGAGGACAGCCTGGGCAACAAAGCGAGACCTCGTTTCTACACCCATACACACACACAAATATATATATATATATATGTATGTATATATTAGCTGGGCACAGTGGCATGTGCCTGTAGTCTCAACAGCTCAGGAGGCTGAGGTAGGAGGATCACTTGAGGCCAGGAGTTCGAGGTTACAGTAAGCCATGATCACACCATCCATTCCAGCCTGGGTGACCTCACCTCAAAAAAAAAAAAAAAATTATTTGCAAGATCGCCAGTCGGAAACAGGTTGAAATTCTTAGAGACAGGCCTAATCACCTTACCCTCCAGTGGTGCAGAGGCCACTAATTTACATTTTACCGGAACCCCAGGCTTGATCTGACAGTATGCTATAAGGATACCTGCCAAAGAAATACAGGGGTCCATTCCTCTACGGCTCGTTATCATTCGGTATATATGAAGAAAATAAGCGATACGATCCACAGACATGCGGGATTGGCCGGGTTTGCCCAGAAGCTAGAGACGGGACCTTTATCCCAATTTTATTTTTTAAATAGAGAAGGTTGGGGGCGTGTCTCACTATGTTGCTCAGGCTGGTCTCGAACTCCTGGGCTCAAGCGAGCCTCCCAAAGTTCTGGAATTTACGGCACCCAGAGGGTTTTTTTTGTTGTTTGTTTTCGTTTGGTTTGTTTTTTTTTTTTGCGGGGGGGTGGTTTCCATAGGCAGAGTACTCGTTTTCTGAATTTTGCACAAAGAAAACGGAATTTAGGAAGATGCCTAGAGGACGCACCCCTCCGTCCGGGCCAATCGCTGACAGCGCAATCGGAAGCTCAACGGTGTCCGAGACTCTCGGGTATCGCGAGGTGAAGTGTAAAAACTGCCGACAATCGATTGGCTAACGAGGTCGGTGACGCTAGACGCAAGACGCCGGGCCTACTGCGGGAGCGTAGAGTAGGCCGTGCATTCCGTTCCAAGGCCTCTGTGTGCCCGCGGAGTAGCCATCATGAGCAAAGCTCACCCTCCCGAGTTGAAAAAGTAAGTATGTATGAGAACCAAACCGAAACGGTCGCTTCTGTGAGTCCCCCGAGTCCCTTTGTTCCCTCCCCATTCGCCGAATGGCTTGAGCCACCACCTCATTTCTTCTTCGGGTCCGAGGTCGCCGGGATCTCGGCCAGGCTCCCGCGCTTGGGACGTGAAGCCCGCGCAGAGCTAGCGCGTCGGCGTGGTTACCGCCGGCAGCCACTGCACCTCCTTCCGGCCGACCCGCCTCCCGGTGCTGTGGTCGGGCCCCTGGTCACCCCGCGCTCTCCCTCCCTCGTTCCTTGAAGATCTTGAATGCCACCTTTTGTTGAACATCTCGAATAGCATCATGTTCTAGATAGATAGCTAGAGGGGGTAATTCTGTAGAGGAACCTAAGAGGGACTGGAATGGAAGTGTTTTTAAAGACTCCGTGAGGCATCAGACTCCAAAAGCCACTTTAACTTTAGAGAATGTGTTTGTAGCTATTTCTTTGAGCTTTTACTTAGAAACCTCATTCCTTTTTCTTGCCTTTTACGTTAAGTTTGAATGTCGTGTGTTATCTTGCTGTGATGTTAAAACTATGTAAGAATATTCATTTTTTTTTTATAACATTAACTTTTTTCTAATCAGAGAAGGCTAGTGTTTTGAAGTTTTTTTCTACACACCCAGTAAAATCAAACAACTTTAGGTAGGAGAGCCTTACTTCAGATAGGACTCAATGTAAAGCTTTAAACTCTTCAAATACTTCTTGACTGGACTTAACATGTTCTGCGTTTCCTGAGTACGTTTCTGTTTTGTTTATACTCCTTGATGCTGGAATTCCACATGTAGCTGAATTGCACAAAGGGTGCAGAATTGTTACAGGGATCAGTTTTCTCTGGCATAGCGTGCGGTTGGCTTTGTGTATAGTTCCTTTATTACCAGGCCCACAGAAGTTAGACATAAGGAAAAATTCCTATTTGATAATTTTGCGGCCGGGCGCAGTGGTTCACGCCTGTAATCCCAGCACTTTGGGAGACCGAGGGGGGTGGATCACCTGAGGTCAGGAGTTTGAGACCAGCCTGGCCAACGTCGTGAAACCCCGTCTCTGCTAAAAATACAAAAAATTAGCCAGGTGTGACGACGGGGCCTGTAATCCCAACTACTTAGGAAGCTGAGGCAGGAGAATTGCTAGAATCCGAGAGGCGGAGGTTGCAGTTGCAGTGAGCCGAGATTGTGCCATTGCACACCAGCCTGGACAACAAGAGCAACTCTTTTTCAAAAAATAATAATAATATTTTTGCTTTTAAAGGTGCATTTGTATCAAAGCCATCTTTGTGTGAAAACTCCTTGCGTTTAAATTTTAGTTAGGTCTGTTAAGGAATTAATTATTAAAGCATAAGCCCAACATAAGAAAAATCGAACTTACTTAGAAATTGGCCGGGCGCGGTGGCTCAAGCCTGTAATCCCAGCACTTTGGGAGGCCGAGGCGGGTGGATCATGAGGTCAAGAGATCGAGACCATCCTGGTCAACATGGTGAAACCC